GTACCTCCACATAGAAACAAGAAAACTTGGGTTTATTCTACATGTAAATACACACTGTATACGCGTACGGCCTCAAGAGGGCTTGTGGAGAGCAATCGGTCCTGGGTGGTTAAAGTTAACTAGCCCTGCTAGACTAATCTTCCCTCTTCTCGTTCCTGAAGAGTTCCTCTACCAGTTTCCTTGGGGCACAATTCCCAGAGGTGAAGACCCTGGGCCAAAAGGTAAGGACATTCAAGACTCCAGACGGACCTTGTCACACCGCCCTCCGGAAAGGTTGCACCAATGTGCAAATACCCCCTTCGGTCTTGCAGGAAAACGTGCGTGTCCGTGGCCACGACTCACGGTCGAGTCCAGTGACGGCTTCGGGACGTTCTAATGTGCTAGCACAAGAGAAGGGCCACTTAGAGTTAACAGATTCTTAAGAGCCAAGAAAAAGCTTTTCTGGACACACAACGCCGAGACCAGCAAGGGAAGTAGCCTTTCAAAAAACGGAAGTTCTCCCTTGATGGGGCCTGGCTGGACGTCTGGGGCGGACATGGTAACCTTTAGGTCTCTGACCAAGAGGCAAGGCAGCCAAAACGAGAGAACGTCGGTCGTAAACACCTCCCAGCACGCGTCTGCCCCCTGACCGTGGGCACCAAGGGGCACAGACAGCATCCGTCGTCGCTGCTTCCTGCAGCCACACGAGCTGACCACGAACCTGGCTGCTGTTCTCACCGACCGCAGCAACTTTAGGAGAATGTATTGGGGGCGGGGGGTCATCTTCACGCGAATTATTCATCATGTTTACAAACCTCTGGAAAACCCAAACGGTGGGCAACTCTTTGCTAAAATCACTGAGATGTCCTGAAACGATATCCTGGTGTAAAAAGGGAAGCTGCCAAAGGCCGTGAGATTCAAAGGGCCCTGAAAACCTCCCACTGGAATAAAAGTCACAGCTAAGCCGAGAGGACCGTACTCCACCGAAGAGCACGCTTCCCAAAGCGCCGCCAGGGAAACAAGAGAAAGCGGCAGCCACTCGGCGACGGCTCTTCGTGTGGCCGGTCCCAGGCAGCTCCCTTCCAAACCACGCGGAAGCCTGCGTCCCTCCTTCAAAGCAGGAAAAGGGATGCCTTGAGATTAGGAGATGTGCCCCAGATCCCCCCTCCGGTAAAGGCCGGAGGCAGGATTCAAACACGCAGGCCCGTGGGGGTCTGGCAGGCAGCACGCTCTCCGCTCTACCCCACTCGACGTCCCCGCTTTGCCGGGGCTGAGTGGCTCACCCACACTTCCCCTGTACTCACCCTCAGAGAGGAGACGGTCGCCCGGCCAGTCCCACGGAGTCAGAGGAGCTGTGCGCTGCCCCAAAGACAGCCGAAGGTGCGAAATAAACACGGACACCGTTTTGTAATCAATGACTTTTTTATCTTTGAAAATGGAAGCAAGTGTTTTGACAGAATACTATGGCCGCTCTATAAGAGCCGATCTAGGAGCAATTCACTGGTTTTCCTCTGGGATAGCACGGCTTTGA